GGGGAGCTTGTTACCTGGGCGTTCTGATCTAGTGCCTCTGGGAGATGCAGATTCTCAGCAGGCAGTCAGAGCAGAAGGAACCGTTCTGAGGCACTGGTGCATGAGGCCACATGTACGTGTGTGTGTGTGTGTGTGTGAACATGTACGTGTGTGAACATGTGTGTTTATGCATGGGTAGGCATGTGCATGCATGTGTATGTGCAAGTGTGTATGTGTGCATACACCTGTGTGCACACATCTGCATGTATGCTTCCATTTGTGCATGTATGTGGTTTTCTTTTCACATAAAAAACATGTACTGTGAAATCTGTCGTGCATACAGATGAACATACATGTCCAGGCCACATAATAAAGTCCTACTCAACCACCACTGCACCCACAAACACAACTTTTCAACGCCTCAGCCCTGGAAGCCCCGGCTCAGGCCGTGTCTCGCCTCCCAGGTGCAACTCAGCTGTGAGGCTGTTTCTCACCTGCACACGCTCAGAGGCCTGTCTGTGTCCACCACCCACTCAGTGGGGCTCCACTTGTCCAGAGAGTCAGAGGGACTGGGGTTAGGGGATGCTGCCAGCCTTCCCAGACCAGGCCTCTCACTGCCAGGAGCCCCACCTCCTGCACAGAATGCCCAGCTCTGGGGCGCCCGGCCTCGGAATGCCTGGCCACAGAGCTGCGTACAGCAGCACGTCCACCCCGCACTTCAGGACCCTCCCTTGTGTCTGTGTGGCCCAGACCATAGCAGACAAAGCCACCTTTCCCGACCCATGCAGAACGGACATGCAGCCTAACTCCCAATGTGTTTGAAATGACCTAATACCATTGCTTCTTAATGCCAAACCCTCAAACATCCTTGCTAACACTGGACCATCAGTGACACCTGACACTCACAAGGCTGGCAGGATTGTAAACCACGGCAACAGCGTGGTGCCTCCTCAAATAGTTCAACGTCGAATTACTGCTGCTGCTGTTGCTGCTGCTGTGGTTGTGTGCCATCGAGTTGGACACAACTCATAGCGACCCCTCCTGGGTTTCCGAGGCAGTATCACTAAGGAAGTAGATTGCCCAACCTTCCTTCCGAGCAGTGGCTGGTGGGTTTGAACCGTCAGACTCCTGGTTAGCAGTCAAGTGCCTCAGGCACGAAGCTGCCTGATGCAGCAGCCCAACAATGGGGCAGGAACAGACTGACAGCCGTCTCCAGTGCTCACCACTGCACCATTCACAGCAGCCAACTGCCCACCCACCAACATGAGTGGACCAACATGTGCCCATGACACAACGGACCACCCACTCACTGGTAAGGAGCCACGAGGCCCTGTGCACACTCAACACGGACAGACCTTGGACATTACGTTGAGTGAACCCATCAACCTCACATACTGCACGCTCTCACTGAATGTTCTAGAATGGACGGGCAAATGCATGGAGACCACAGTTCATTAGCAGTTACCAGAGGCGACTCAAGAAGGGGTATCCAGCTTGTTTGGGGGGGGGGGTAACTCTGAGGAAGAACAGTGGTGGTGACCACACAGTATGGCAAGTGTCATTCGTGTCTGGACTGGACACACCTAACGGCTGAAATGGCAAACTTTTTGTAATACATACTTTAACACAATTTTTTATTAAATCTTCTGCAATGCTCTCAGATAGGATGGCGGCCACCATCCCTAGACTGGACATGGCGCTCCGAGAGTCTGTGCAATGACGGTCCAGGGGGCAAAGAGGGAACAGCTCAGCTGCAAACCTGAAGGCTGGAGGCTCGAATCCACTCACAGGCGCTCAGTGGAGAGGCCTGGCGATCCGCGTCCCCAACCAGCTACCCAGAGTCTGGGGAGGGCAGTCCTGCTCTCACACGAGGGGCACCAGGAGCCAGCAGCTGGGCGGTGGCTCATCACGGGCCCTCTGTGGTCCTGCCCTTGTTTTACAGACAGGACATGAGGGTCAAAGTGACAGATGTCACCCACCAAGGCCAGAAGCCCATCGCCCCAGCCACACCCCAGCTCCCAACACCCCTTTGGTTCCATTAAGTTACTGTAACAACATGTGATGTGCTCAACCTCCCAGTAACAAAGGTTCGACCTAACTGCAAACCAGGCATGGGAGGGCACGGGACTGTTCGGGAAGGAGAGGGACAGGTGGTGCACACCCTGGACAGGTGGGAACCAGACAGACAGGTGTGTGCACACCTTGTACAGGTGGGAACCAGACGGACAGGTGGGTGCACACCCTGGACAGGTGGGAACCAGACAGACAGGGGGAACCAGACAGACAGGTGGGTGCACACCTTGTACAGACA